AGTGGGGCTTTACCACAAATGTCCAGTGTTGGGCAGAAGAAGGATACAGAAATAGGAAACAAATATCCCAATATCACTTATTAGTGATGGGCTGAATACCCCCTTGTTTGGTTCTCAGTCGATCATTCGAACCTAACGAAAGTTCGAGCGTGAGCTTCGAACAGGGGCATTTCACTAAGCAGTATCTTACTGCATCTGAGTAAGTGGTAAGATACCAATACCACCCAGCTACTGAAATACTACATGAGTTACAGTATCTCACAGAAGTGAGCACACCCCTCACATTTTTGTAAATATTTTATTCTATCTTTTCATATGACAACACTGAAGAAATTACACTTTGCTACAGTGTAAAGTAGTGAGTGTACAGCTTGTATAACAGTGTAAACATGTTGTCCCCTCAAAATAACTAAACGCACAGCCAATAATGTCTAAACCGCTGGCATCAAAAGTGAGTACACCCCTAAGTGAAAATGTCCAAATTGGGCCCAATTAGCCATTTTCCCTACCAGGTGTCATGTGACTTGTTACTGTTACAAGGTCTCAGGTGCAACTGTTGAGCAGGTGTGTTAAATTTGGTGTTATCGCTCTCACTCTCTCATACTGGTCATTTGAAATTAAGCATGGCACCTCATGCTAAAGAACTCTCTGAGGATCTGAAAAAAAAGAATTGTTGCTCTACATAAAGATGGCCTAGGCTATAAAAAGATTGCCAAAACCCTGAAACTGAGCTGCAGCACGGTGGCCAAGACCAAACAGTGGCTTAACAGGACAGGTTCCACTCAGAACAGGCTTCGCCATGGTCGAGTTGAGTGCACGTGCTCAGCGTCATATCCAGAGGTTGTCTTTGGGAAATAGACATATGAGTGCTGCCTGTATTGCTGTAGAGGTTGAAAGGGTTGGGGGTTAGCCTGTCAATGCTCAGACCATACGCCACACACTGCATCAAATTGGTCTGCATGGCTGTCATCCCAGAAGGAAGCCTATTCTAAAGATGATGCACAAGAAAACCCACAACCAGTTTGCTGAAGACAAGCAAACTAAGCACATGGATTACTGGAACCATGTCCTGTGGTCTGATGAGACCAAGATAAACTTATTTGGTTCAGATAGTGTCAAGAGTGTGTGGTGGCAACCAGGTGAGGAGTACAAAGACAAGTGTGTCTTGCCTACAGTCAAGCCTGGTGGTGGGAGTGTCATGGGCTGGGGCTACATGAGTGCTGCCGGCACTGGGGAGATACAGTTCATTGAGGGAACCATGAATGCCAACGTGTACTGTGCCATACTAAAGCAGAGCATGATCCCCTCCCTTCGGAGAGTGGGCCGCAGGACAGTATTCCAACATGATAACGACCCCAAACACACTTCCAAGACTACCACTGCCTTGCTAAAGAAGCTGAGGGTAAAGGTGATGGACTGGTCAAGCATTTCTCCAGACCTAAACCCTATTGAGCATCTGTGGGGTATCCTCAAACACAAGGTCTTTAACATCCACCAGCTCCGTGATGTTGTCATGGAGGAGTGGAAGAGCACTCCAGTTGCAACCTGTGAAGCTCTAGTGAACTCCATGCCCATGAGGGTTAAGGCAGTGCTGGAAAATAATGGTGGCCACACAAAATATTGATACTGCAACGGGAATGAAGGAGAACGCTATTCCGACACCTGAATCACTGTGCGGGAGGGTCTATTGATACTGGCTGCTGGAGGATCTATTGTTGCTGGGGGGTAAATATTGTTGCAGAGAGGTGTATTGTTGTTTGTGGGGTACCTATTGTTGTTGATTGGTCAATTGTTGCTGTGAAGAATCTATTGTTGAGGGAGGGGTCTATTGTCGTTGGCTGCTAGAGGATCTAGTGATCAATAACAAATTCTTTACAAATTACTTAGCATCACAAAATGATACTTGGTTCTGAATTCTATAAAATGGGCGGTACTGGGAGGTGGGGGGGGGGGTTGAAACAAATGGACAGTGCTCAAAAATGGGTAGAAACAGAGACAAGGGGTGACTTGGAAGGGAGGATTACCTGCACCTTTTCTATGAAAAAAACGCCTTGCCAGGAGGTATAAATGCTGCACAGCTCATCTCTTAGTCGGGGCCTGCCTTGAGGTTGATTTCACCTAAACATGGATCCTCCGCCTCATCCCGGGGCATTGATAAGCGTGCGCATATCAAAGGTACCCCATGTGCAGGGCATGTAACCCTGCCCACACTGCCTAGTGTAGCACAAAGAACCCCTCGGAGTCTATAGCATGGTGTGTTCAACAAGCATACTCTAGCTGTAGCCCTCCGCCCGCCCCCAAAAGTGATTTTGATTTATTCAGAAGTTTCATTTCCATTAGAAGTATTTTCTGTTCTCCACAGGAGTTTGCTGTTTTTTTCAGTTTGATTCAAACTATGAGTATAATTTCAATTATTCTTTGCTCATTCAATTTCTTTCTGCTTACCCTAAAAGATTTAATATCCCAAGCATGTAACAATCCCATCAAAAATGAATTACTTCCTTTTCAAAAATCACATGATCAGAACAGACTGTGGTTGGATTATCAAATGATCAGATTTAAAACTGTTGGCGCTTCTTGGAACCAATGATTTAGGTAAATAAAGGACTTTAAATTTTGTTTTTTTTATTTTTTTTATAAACATAGCAAATAGTTAGGAATGGGGAGGGGGACAGGCAACAGATTAATGCAGAAAATTCAGCTATAAAGCCAATTTCTACACAAAGTTTCACAGCTGCTATATATGAGTTACAACTCAGCATTGGCAGGGGGGAGGCAGCTTACAACAGCCTTCAAGATCCATTAGAAGTGATGGCAAAAAGAATAGCAAAGGTCAATTTTAATTACTAAAATGGTGGAGAGCTACTTACACAAATTTTCTTATTACACTTTTATTACAATCTAGCTTCAGTATCAGCAACCACAGGCAGCTTGAAGTCTGATGGTCAGTGCCTTTATATTCTGGGCTCCATTCACAGAAGGAGGTATTGTCAAGGTGGCTGGACGTATTTTGCCTAAATATTGCATGCAATCCTAAAACTGTCAATTCACTATACCATTTTGTATACCATTTTTGTATATAATTTCACTATACCTCGGTAAATATACTACATGGAAAGGGATTAAAGTCAATTCACAGAAGGAAATAAATAATTAAATGCATATGGTAATTAAGTAATAGTCTAGGCATGCGGGATTTAAAGTGGAGCTCCACCCAAAAGGGGAAGTTTAAGGCCACATTCCCAACTCCCTGTTAAGGGTTGCCACCTTTGGGGAGCAGGGGGGGAGTGGGTACCCGATTCTGACAGGTACCCACTTCCGCTGTGATCATCTATGTGATTGGAAGCAGAAGCTCTCCTCCCCCCGCAGTCTTTTGGGACATGTGACAGGTCCCAGAGGACTGCGGGACCATTCACAATGCGCAGCGCTGCTTGCACATGCACAGTGGGCAGCCAGCTTTGAAGCCGCAAGCTGCCACAGCCGGGAGCCCACACTTAAGATGCCAGGACCAAGGACACAGGATGGCCGGTGAATCCAGCTTCGGTGAGAATACCATTGGATCCTAGGAAAGGTGAGTGGCTGTTTTTTAAAAGTCAGCAGCTACAGTTTTTGTATTTTTTTTTAAAGAAGACTGGACAACTGCTTTAAGAAATGTAAAACTATAATAGGCAATTTTGAGTAGTTTCTGTCAGTTCTCTCAACAGTAATGCATAGAAACCTAAATATGTAAATCATTGGGGTTGATTTAATTTAACCTTTTTTTTTTATAATTTTGGATAGAGTAGAAGTGAATAAGGACACCTCTCAGTCCTTTTTTTGCTGTCTGTATCCCGATTAGGGAAATTCACGCTCTCTATTTGTTCTGTTTACCATTATCATTGAAAATCCCAAATTTTGGGTTGTCCCCAGAAAACTAATAGAGGGGACATCTTTCAATGGGGACACAGATGTAAAAATTTTTAAAAAAACATGGCAGGGGTTATAACCCTCCCTTACTCTATCCAAAATGAAAAAAAAACAATGTTGCCTATAGTTCTACTTTAACCACTTGCCTACCAGGCACTTATACCCCCTTCCTTACCAGGCCAATTTTCAGCTTTCAGCGCTGCCGCACTTTGATTGACAATTGCGCGATCATGCAACATTGTACCCATATGAAATTTTGATCATTTTTTTCTCACAAATAGAGCTTTCTTTTGGTGGTATTTAATCGCCACTGGGCACTTTACTTTTTGCGCTATAAATTAAAAAAAGTGCAAAAAATTTGAAAAAAAAAAAAAAGTTTATTTGTTTCTTTTATAAAATTTTTCAAACAGGTATTTTTTCTCCTTCACTGATTTGCGTTGATGAGGCGGCACTGATGGGCACTGATGGCGGCACTGATGGGCACTGATAGGCAGCACTAAAGGGCACTGATAGGCAGTACTAATGAGGTGGCACGGATAGGCGGCACTGATAGACAGCACTAATTAGGGGTCACGGATAGGCGGCACTGATAGGCGGCACTGATAGGTGACACTGATGATGGGTACTGATAGACGGCACTGACTGGCATCACTTCTGGGCACTGACTGGCGGCACTGGCTGGCACAACCCCTGGGCACTGACTGGTGGCACTGACTGGCAGCACTGCTGGGCTGCACTGGTGGGTGGCACTGGTGGGCAGCACTGGTGGGTGGGCACAGGTGGGTGGCACTGGTGGGCACAGGTGGGTGGCACTGGTGGGCACAGGTGGGTGGGCACAGGTGGGTGGCACTGCTGGGCACATGTAGGTGGCACTTCTGGGCACAGGTAGGTGGCACTGCAGAGTGGCACAGGTGGGGGCACTGCTGGGCACAGGTGGGGGCACTGCTGGGCACAGGGGGGGCACTGCTGGGAACGGGTGGGGCGGGGCTAGTGGGCGCACTGCTGGGCGGAACTTGCGGGTGTCACTGCTGGGCACCGATCATCAGGGCACTGATCATCAGTGCCCTGATGATCGGTGCCGATCCCCGCTCTGACAACTGCCGGTTCTCGGCAGTACTTTCCTCACGATCTAACAGCGTGAGGAAAGTGCAGCCGAGAACCGGCACTTGCATTTCCCTGTGATCAGCGTGTCATTGGACACCGCTGATCACGTGGTAAAAGGCCGGTGGGATCGGCCTTTCACCACATCACGTGATCAGCTGTGTCCGTAGGACACAGCGATCACGGAGATCGCCGGGTGCGCGCCCCCTGGGGCGCGCAGGAGAGTGCGTTCTGGGAGGACGTCATATGACGTCCACTCAGAACTGGCCGGCCACGGTGAAGCCGTCATTCGGCTATGCGCGGTCGGCAAGAGGTTAAGGAAAACAGACAAGTGCAATTTGCAAGTTGCACCAGAGCTTAGTACATGAGGTAAAGCTTCACAGTATAAAGAATACCCAATCAAGTGCAAGGAAAAAAAACTGCATTTTTGCTTGCACATGATTGGATGATTGAAGTCAGCAGAGCTTCCCCTCATTTACTAAGCTCTGGAAAAACTTAATTTGCAAAGTGCTCAGTCTATGTGCCTTTACTAAATCCACCCCATTTCATGTAATAAATCCACCCCATTTCATGTAGTAAATCTACCCCATTAAATGTAGAAAAATATATACTTATTGTCTCCTTTCATTTCACCAGATGTTTAGAGAATTTTGTGAATATAAAAGCATATATATCATTTCCTACAAAAAAACTCCTAATGACTCCAAACATAATACAATGTCAAAGCATGTCACAATGGTCTAATCCCTTGTTAGAACATATGTCATATGTAGTGGGGATACATTACTCTTTCACAATTATTTTTAGAGATATATTCCCACTGACATGTTCCCACTGACATCGCTGATCATTTTAGCTATCTGTAAGGGGGTAATTCTTCCCAGTGACCACAAGTGTAAGGATCATTCTTCCCACTGACCACCACACTAATGTATCATGAGATACATTGTACCATGCAGATATAGTCATTTTTAGCAGGGGTTTCCTGAGACTGGAAAAAAATATTTCAAGGGTGTTGAAAAGATTGAGAAAGGCTGTTTGAAAGTGTAAAGAAAGACAAAACCTTCTTTTTCATTTTGTATAGAGTAATGGAGGGTTAGAACCCTTTTTCAGTTTTTTTGTCCCATTGGGGAGATTTACCTAACGAAAATGGTAAACAGGACTAATAGAGAGGGTGGATATCCCTAATGGGGGCACAGACTGCTGTAAAACCTAATAGGTGTTCTAATACCTTTCCACACTATCCAAAACTAAGGAAAAACTTTTTCCCTTATTTATGCTTTAAGTAAATACAAAATGTCTTACTAAATGTCAAATGTTGAAAGAAAAAAGTATCAAAAATCACATACAAATATAAATACCCTTCTTCCACCAATACAATGTTGTAGAAGAAGAGTATCTATATATGTGTTTTTTTTTTAGACTATTTTCATTCAATATTTGGCATTTAGAAAGATATTTTGTATTTACTTAATTTAACATAGTTTTTATCTTTTGATACACCACGTGTGTCCTGTGAAAGCAGCTTCCCTTTGACTGGTATTTTAGTCACCTTTTTTCTTTTGTATTAATACTTATGCTGCAGGGACCTCACTGACTTAGTGAGTTACCATACGTCTGCGGCTTAAGCCGTTTTATCTCTTTATTAGCAATAAAAACTGACAGGGGTTCTAATTCTTCTCCACTGTAGCCATCCCACTGGATATCACAAGAGCTAAAATACTGAATGGCTTCACAAGATAAGTACCGCATATTTCTATGACATACCCGCATGTCCTATTTTAGTGGCATTTTTTTTTTGTTAATTACAAAAACATTTTTGAAAAATGCTATGAGGAATTTTACTGCAAATTTTAAAGAGGAAAATGCTGCTTTGTGAATAAACCCCCCTGCCTCTACTCTTCAGTGTTGGTATTGCAGTGTTGTGTAACAGTATTCTTCTGTTTTTTACTTGAGGTCAGGCAAATTTTCTTCAGGTGATCTCTGATACTCAAGCTGAAATATCATGTTTATTTAACCTGCCTAGCGGCAATCCCGAGCGTAGCTCAGGGTTAACTTTCAGTACCAGAAGCTGTAACCCCGAGCAACACTCGGGATTACATTGCCACGCTTCTCCAGTGATCCCTCCAACACACTTACCTTCTCCTGCGGTCCCGTGATGTCCCCCCTGCAGTGTCCCCGGCCATGTCCTCTGGCCAATGCTGGCATCCATCTTCCGTGTTCCATTCCCTGTGAGTGTCGGAAGGTACGGGGGGCGGAACCGACGGGAATTTAAAAAATGTACAAATTTGACATTCACTCAATACACTAAAATCTGATAGTATTACATTACTGTATCTAACAATTTCAAATACATTTTGTCCCGAGTGTTTTGTCCTGTGCCCTGCCTACATTTTTATTGTTCTTTTTGCCTGGAAACTGAGAAACGTCCATGGCGTCCAAAAAGCGTCCCTTTAGGTCAAAATCGGTTTTAGACCAGATAGAGAACAGTGATAGTAAATTAGAACCACTTCCAGAATTGAGTGATAATGATTCGTTGGGAAATTCGTCATCAGACACTAAAAACGATTTTGTGACTTTGTGACTTTTGATTTTGTGATGTGCAAACTTGGCGCTCTATTTCAAATTTCAGTGTTTTTTTGGTTTGATTACATTATTGAAATAAATGTATTTATTATTTTTTATGATTATTTATTATATATATAATTTATGATTTTGTGTTTCAAATTTTAACATACCCGGGATGTTTACTAGACTCTTGTTCAGACAGATTTCAGTGAGTTATTCCCAAAAATTACTGGTCTACAATAAAAAAACAACATATTTCCATTGAAAGCAATGTACCGCTTTGAGCACAGAAATACTGACATAATCATACCGCTAGGGAGGTTAAAGAAATGAATGCTAAACAAGGGAACAAATATCTAAATAAAGGACTATAAATGCAATAAAAACTTGTAGCAACCACATATATTTATCAGAATGATTTTCTTTTAGCGTCTCCATTATAACCGTGTAAATTAATTCTTAAACATTTCTCTTTCTCCTTATTTATATACAGACTGGAGGTGAGCAAACGTCTGAAAAGTTCATCAGTTGTGGTTTGGACAATCTTTGGACCATGATCATCCAAAATTTGGGATAAACTCTAACCTACAGGCCAAGGTGACCAGCAAAGTGACAGGGGTTGCACAACACTACTAGTGTGGAGAGAAATGTAATAAAGGTATGTGAAATGAGATTTAAAAAAAATAATGGATATAGTAAATACTACCCATACATGTATTAACCGCCTACAGTTATTGGTATCATTTAACAAATTATTATCTTATCATCATATCACAATATTGTTCACAAAAGTGTTCCCTTAAAGTGGTTGTAAACCCTTACATATACCCAGTGAAGTGACTGGCCTCAGGTGATACACAGAGATGAAACAAATCCTCCAACATAAGTTGTACCTGTTTATCTGCAGTATTCTCTTCTCTACATCCGTTTAAAACAACTGATTATATAAAGCCTGTCTGAGAGTTCCAAAAAAAAGGGTTTGAGCTGAAATTACACTCTGCAGAGCTTAGTGAGGAGAACTCTGAGAGCTGATTGTTGGAAAGAGACACATACCCCTCCACACAGCTCACAGGAACAGAGCTGAGGCTGTCAATCTGCTGAAAGTATCTCCCCTGTCACCATTTTTTTCTTGGTGTCAGGAAAACTTGTTATAAGTGATTCATGCTGACAGCAGAGGAACGAGGCAGCAGAAATTACCCTTAGTGCTCTTAACTGACACAAGTACACACTATAGAGGGGTATGCTTTCTTCATGTTTCATGTCTGAGGTTTACAACCACTTTAAGACTGAATAGTTAAAGTGTTATTAAACCCACAACAGTAAAATCAGTCTGTATATGCATTAAAGCATGCTTGTTATACTCACTAAGGGGTTATTCCTCTGCATTGTGTAAAAAGGCTGTTTGATCCTGTCTTCTCTGATCCTCCCCTTCTTCCAGTGTCCCCTCCTATCTCCTGATAAGACATATCATTGGGAGTCACTCTGCACATGCTTAGTTTGGTGTGTATTGCTATAGAGGTTTTTATTTTTTCTTGGAAGAGTGCATGTGATTAGCACAGGGCCAATCAACACTGTCCAGACAGAGAATCAGGGATTCTGCATCCTCCTAGAGGAAAATTAAAACTCCTCCTGTAAGCTTTAACCAGATATAATGAATGCAGGGTCCTGGGTTTAGTAATGCTTTAAATTCTTGGGTAAATCCAGTGGCATGGCTGATTCTGTTTAATGATGTTAGCTATACTATTCTAGTGAAGCATAAAAATGTGTTAACTTTGAACACAGTCAGAAAATAACTGAAAAGCTCTCTTATTTACAATAAATGGCATGAAGGTCCAACCTTACGCTTCATTCATCATATACTCCTATGCTTGGTTGTTCTTTCAATATATCTTCATTTTGTCATGCAGATTTCGACTACTCATCTCCTGTATGCAAATCCTGGTCTTGATGAATCATGCGTGCCCTCACACCCACACAGGATAACTATCGTTATTAATGAACAATAGCTCACAGCGAGCACTAACTGTACCAGCTCAGTACCGTGTTCTGGGAGGATAAATGTGCTCAGTTCAGAATTTTGCAGAGGGGTTTGTCAGTCTATTTGTGTTTAATAAAGCTACTTATTGCCTTTTTAGCCTGAAAAGGTTCAGGATTCAGATATCTGCACATTATGCAGTTATATCCATGTCCCCCAGTGTTAAATCTCCAGAAAACTGCTCTCATTTTATCATTGCAAATTCTGTTTTCTGCTAATGTGTAAGTATTTTTTTTTTATGGAAAAAGTGAAAATGATCTGTCATTGAGCAAAGGTGCCATCTTGTGGATAAGGAATGTTTTGCACTGCAGACTTTTTTTTATATTCCTTCCATGTACAGTAGGGCTGAGCTTCAGGATCAAATATGAGTTTAGCCTGAAACCAAGTCAATCGCACTTGGGGAAATGGCAAATTAATGTGGCCACAGCAACCATTTGCCAATATTGCACTTCCTGGCCTCTGAATTGTTGTCAGGTGGCTTGAAAGTGCCAAAAATTGTGGGTTTCTCATGTTCCAATGCCCTTCCTATAAAAGTCAGGCATCTCAGCAGCCTTTGGTCAGTGCGTGTAGAAGATTTAGAATAGATAGGGAGAGCCAACAGAATATTTGTGCGGAATTGCTGCTATACAATGCTGCTAAAAGGTGCAATATGCAGCCATATACATTTTATTTATTTATTTCAGATACTTATATAGCACCATCAATTTATGCAGCGCTTTATATATATATTGTACATTCACATCAGTCCCTAACCCTCAAGGGGTGTACAATCTAATGTCCCTAACTTACATTCATACAAATACATACTAGGGCCAATTTGGACAGAATCCAATTAACCTACGAGCATGTCTATGGAATGTGTGAGGAAACTGGAGTACCTGGAGGAAACCCACACAGGCAGAACATGCAAACTCCAGGCAGGTGGTGCCGTGGTTGGGATTTGAACCAATGACCCTAGTACTGCCAGGTGGAAGTGCTAACCATTTATCCACTGTGCTGCCCCATTGTCAGTGTGTGCTGGAGGCTTGGAGTAAATAGGGGGAGCTGGTAGCTAGCTTATCTTTATGTGATATACGTATCTTCCATTATACCATTAAACTAATGAGCTCTTGCTGTACATGCTTATAGTTCATGGGGCTTGAGGCTATGCTGGCCCCAAGCCCCTTCCCATTTGTTTGTCCTATGTATGCCTTCGACCAATCACAGATGTGAAATGTTTGAAGCACATTATTTTTGTACCTCATGGTGCCTTCTTTTAAATATGGCATTGTATGCAAAATGTTTCTACAAATAAAGGTTATATTTAAAAAAACAAGGGGTGCTGACCATGTCAGAGATAGTTGCATGGAGAAATAGTTGCTTCTATACTATACAGTGCTCAACAATGATATACACAGTCCTGTACTGTGCTACATTATAGTTTTTTTGTGTTTTATTGCTTTTTTATTACATATTTTCATAATTTTTTTAAATTTTCAGTTAGGTTAAAAAAAACACAAACAATGGTTGGGGTTTAGTCTTTCAGGGTTGCGGTTTAGTTTGTGTTCTAGGTTTTCAGGATCAGCAGATGAACTTCTTCCCTGACACAGACAAAGCTACTATTGTTTGCAACATATCACCACATACTTGTAAGTACAGTTTAGGGCTATGACTCACCATTGTGCTAAGTCCACCAAAATAGCACATTGTCAAATCCTTATTGTCATAGCTACTAATGAAATTAGGCAATGCCCTGTATTCATAATCTCAGGATAGATTCCACATGTGCAGCTAAGAGGGATCAAGAAGGTTCTGCATCTGTAAATGAACAAATGCACCACTTAGAAGAAGTGCTGTGGAAGAACCTCTTGGCCGCATTTTCAGATAGTGGCAGAATCCCCTCCCATATAGCATACAAGTACCGCTGCACACTGTATTCAATGCCCATGTGAAGTGACTAAAAGGCAGGCGTCAGCTCAGCGGTGCCTCTATGATTAAGCCCAGTGTGGAACATGTCAGAGGGAAGTGACCTATGGGTGTGGATCTGGGCTGAAACCTGTCTTTCATTCACTTCACACCGATGCTGAATACAGTTTGCAGCAGTAATTGTATGCTACTGTATTTTGTATCTTGGAGCGAGTTGTGCCCTCTCTCTGCCAGAACCTGAATACAGAGTGTAAACCCAGGAATGGCACCTATCTGTTATGGTATTTAGGATCCCCTCCCACATCTAACGTGCCTCCAATCCTTAGATCGATGAAAGAAGGAACAGCAGTTGCTGTGGTTGTCTCAGCAACATTTTAAGCCATTTTTCTTAACACAGCGGATGCGCCCAGCTGCCAGCAGCCATTATAGGCAGCACCTTAAATATATGATTGCAGACTACTGTAGGTTCAGTCATAAACTCTACTTTTTATTTTATTTCACCTGGTCCTCTCTTAAAATGTGGCCTATTAAAATTGCTTAGATAGTGTTCATTGAGCCTGTATAATATTTCTGGCTGTTGTCTCTGAAATAAAACACTCTAATTTAAATTTTTCAAGCTTCCAGAGGGATCCAGCAGGTACAAGATATGCATACTTACATTACTCCAAGCTGGACAAATATAACTATGCAATAACACCCATACCTGGAATTGAGATTTAACCACTTACCCTCCAGAAGATTTACCCCCCTTCCTGACCAGGCCATTTTTGCGATACAGCGCTTCATTACCTTAACTGACAATTGCGCGGTCATGCAGCACTATACATAAATAAAATTTATGTAATTTTTTCCCACAAATAGAGCTTTATTTCGGTATCTGTTCACCACTGCATTTTTTTTTTTTTTTTTTGCGCTGTAAACAAAAAAAGAAAAAAAATCCTCATACATTTAAGCCCAAATGTATTCTGCTAAATGTCTTTACTAAAAAAAAAAATCCCAATAAGTGTATATTAATTGGTTTACGTGAAAGTTATAGCATCTACAAATGGCGGCATATATACTGAATTTTATTTATTTATATATATATATATATATATATATACTAGTAATGGCGGCCATCGAAAATTATAGCGGGACTGCAACGGGCATTCTGACTAACTGACTAACTGCCACTGGCATCACAATGACACTAATACAGTGATCAGTGCTAATAAAAAGCACTGACACTGTACTAATGACACTGGGCAGGAAAGGGTTATCATCTTTGGTGATCAAAAGATTAACTGTGTGCTGCGTGCTGTTTTACATAATGTGCTGTGTGTGTTTTACTAGAGAAACATGCTGCTGTGCATTTCTCTGCTGTACAGAGAAGTACACAGCAGCATGTTGTTGCTGACAGGAGAGAGGCCTGTGTTGTTTACACACAGGTCTCTCCCCTGTCAATGTTACTTGGCAATCACTGAGTGCTGGCAGAGGATCTCCAGCCGGGACCCCGTGATTGACATCCGTAGCCGCCAACGGCCCTACCCGAAAATGCAAATCACGTATGTATACGTGAGTTTGCGCAGCCCTGCCACCCTGTAGCAGTATTTCTGCTATAGGATGGCAGGTAACTGGTTGGTGCTGTGATTGATTATTCTGTTAAACCTATCAGAGTGTTTCATATTTTGGGCACACTTAATTTTATTCCTTTGTGCTTGCACTTCCTATACCCTGACTGCAATACAATCAGAACATTTGTTCACCTTAAACTATGTGATTATTTTGTGGTTTGAAGCCAGGGGGTTCTCTTGCTCAAGGTTTCACATGGTGTCAGCAGGGGCTGTGCTTTTAAATCAGGCTCAGAACAGACAGGGAACCCAAAATACTCAGCGGCTCTTAAGGGGGTAGTGCTACATTAGATTTTTCTTCTGTTTGCTCACTTTGAATTTTGTAAATTGATAAAAATAAACAATTAAAACATATATTTTTGAAAACTTTCTTACTTTACAGCATTTCTTTACAGCTGCCTATAAATTTACACACACACACACACACAACATACAAATGTTTGGCCTTTCATTTCTATTTTGAACTGAATGGGTTGTTTTACATGGTAAGGGTCCACATATACTTTAAAGTATAACTAAAGGCAAAAAATTTTTTTGTTCTGGACAGAGATGAGAGGGAATAAAACACTGATTGGTTTTTATTGCTATCTGTGTTGCCATTAAAGATATCTCTATTTGTCCTGTTTATCATTATCATTTGAAAGTGAAAGTTAAAAAAATCCCAAATTTTGAGTTGCCCTCAGAAAATTAATAGTGGCAAAATTTTCCAATGGGGACACTAGTTCTGGTGACCTGGGAATTCCCTTAATTTGCAGAGATTTTCTCACTTCCTGGTTTGGCTACGGGACAGGAAGTGAAGGTAAATCTCTTCAATGGGACACAGATGGCAGAAAATAAACTGACAGAGGTTGTAATTCTTCATTACTCTATCCAAAATAAAAAAAGTTTTGCCCATAGTTCTACTTTAAACAGTATGTAAACCCAAAATTCCATATTCCTGATATTTGCCTGCTGTAACATGTACTTATATGAAAATCCTGTTCTCTTTGTACTGCTTCCTTTGTGTAAAATCCCTGGTGTTCCTATTAGTCACTCTGCTTTCTTAATTAAAAACTAAAAAACACACTAAGCAGGAAACTACACCCATGGCCAGTTCTCTAACTATGCTATGAACTCAGTGTGCTCTCCTCCAATGATCAGGCTTGTCCTGACAACCCCACTGCTGCACCATCTTTCACTGGGACATTCAGTGTATGCTGTTTCTCCTCCCCTAGCTCCTATGCAACTGAGAACAGAGGGTATGTAATAGCTACATAAACAAGCATCATATGACGTCCTCCCAGAACTCACCCTCCCATGCGCCCCTGGGGGCACACACCCGGCGATCTCCATGCTGATCACGTGAGGTGATAAAAGGCCAATCACAGTGGCCTTTTACCACGTGATCAGCCGTGTCCAATGACACAGCATATCACCGGTAAATGCAGTTGCCGGTTATCAGCTGCACTTTCTTCACGCTGTCACAGCATGAGGAAAGTACCGCCGATAACCAGCACTTGTCAGAGGAGGGATCGGCACCGATCATCAGGGCACTCATGATCAGTGCCCTGATGATCGGTGCCCAGCAGTGCCACCCACCAGTGCCACCCATCTGTGCCCAGCAGTGCTGCCAGTCAGTGCCATCAGTCAGTGCCACCCATCAATGCCGCCTATCAGTACCCATCAGTGCCCATCATTGTTGCATATCAGTGCCACCTCATCAGTGCTGCCTATCAGTGCTGCCTATCAGTGCCCATCAGTGCCCATAATTGTTGCATATCAGTGCCACCTCATCAGTGCTGCCTATCAGTGCTGCCTATCAGTGCCCATCAGTGCCCATAATTGCTGCATATCAGTGCCAGCTCATCAGTGCCGCCTATCAGTACCACCTCTTCAGTGCTGCCTATCAGTGTCTGTCAGTGCTGCCTGTCAGTGCCCATCAGTGCTGCCTATCAGTGTATCCTTATCAACGCACATCAATGAAGGAGAAAAATTACCTGTTTGCAAAATTTTATAATAGAAACAAAGAAAAACTTTTATTTCAAACTTTTTGTTTTTTGTTTATAGCACAAAAAATCAAACACCCAGTGGTGAGTACATACCACCAAAAAAAGCTCTATTTGTGTGAAAAAAAATTATAAAAATTTCATATGGGTGCAGTGTTGCATGACAGCACAATTGCCACTCAAAGTGCAACAGCGCTGAAAGCTGAAAATTGTCCTGGGCACAAAGGGGGTATAAGTGCCTGGTAGGCAAGTGGTTAAACTGAATGGGTTGTTTTACAAGGCGAGGGTTCACATAATGGAATAAATCCCATCTGTAGGAAAAAAAAACCCCAGATAATGACACAAAGAAACAAAGTAGCTAAGGACAGACAGAAATGATAACAGTGTAACTAATTTCAGTCTAGTGCTGATGAGTATAATTACAGAAGAATGGAACATGGAGACTGGAGGGCACATGTGAATAAAAACAGTTGCACATATCCTTGAAATACGTGCTCACTGATTTAAGCATGCAGAAACAATGCCCTGCCTATCCAAGAGCATCAGACAGATCTCTTAGAACACATCACCTATTTATGAGAAATGTCTTTTCTATTCATTTCAGTAGTGATGGGCTATGTGCTCATATTTATCTGAATAATCACTCAGGTGTATTGTAGCTATAAAATAGCTCCCACCTGTCCCTCTCTTCGAATGAAATTCCTCTGTCCCTCTTTCCTTCTCCTCTTTTTGTTTGGTAGAACTAAGGGTACAACATTTTTCTTTAATTTTGGATAGAGTTAGGCTCAGTTCACACTAGCTTTGTCAGCAGGCGTCAGACAGGCGTTTGGGAAGCATTTTGGTCTAGTCAGGAGGAGTTGAAGCCTCCCATCCGAGTCTATGGTGCCGCTCCACAACTGCCTGGCCGGCGTTTGTGGTGCAGTTGCAACGCGGTTGCGAGGCATTTCCGGAGCGTTAATACCATTTAAACTTTATTATAGGAGTTTGTGGTGCGGTTTTAACGCTTGGCAAATGCCTATCAACCGCCTCAAAACCGCGCATAGGGCATTTTGGGAGCGTTTGAGGAGCGTCAAAAATGCTTCACAAATGCATGTCTAACGCTTGTCAAATGCTATAGGGGCGTTTGGCAAGAGTTAGAAATAAAGTCAAGTGTGAACGAGCCCTTAGAGGGGGTTATGATCCCTGTCAGTTATTTTTTTCTGCCATCTGTGCCCCATTGAGGGGTTTTCACTTCACTTCCTGTCGCAAAACAGAAAGTGAGAGGAAATCCCTGCAAATTTAGGGAATTGTATGGGGGAACCCCAGATCATCAGAACTAGTGTGTCAATTGGAAGAGTTCCCATCTATTACCTTTTTGGTGAAAACCCAAAATTTTGAATTTTATTTTATTTTCAATTTCAATGATAATGGTAACAGGACGTTAAATACACAAATTATTAGGGTATGCTAAACCGTTCATCCATTCTCTAAATTCTTACATTTCTTGTTTTGAATAGCCAGTATGAAGGAGTACGCACATACTACAGCGTACACCCATGTTAGGGCCTTGTTTGCCCTCATAGGAATGCACAGGTGTTGCACATGCAACCATATGGTAGTCAAAATGAGAGCTGTGGCTGTGTTCATGGACTTGAAGGCTAACCCAATCATTTTCTGCTTATTAATTCTCTATGATCTGCATAACTGGGGCTGGGGCAAGGGTATATCCTTTGCCTACATACCTTGCATTAAAAGGTATCCCTCTTTCTCATATTAGAAAGTTGGGAGGCATGCTATAACAATAGCATATCCTGTAGGATGTTCAACAATTCATGGGAAACCTTTTTGGCCTACATGCTCTATGAGGTAAAAAAAAAAAACCCTCCCCTACCCCAGATGCCAGGACCTCAGGTAAGGGTGAGACTGGCTTAGGCACCAGACCTTGAACTACTGGAGAAATCAAGGCCTTGAAAATATTAAGTGTATAAGTTTGGCCCCCCCAACCAGGCCTTGGGTTGAAAAGACAAAGGAAACAGCAGTGTGGAATCTCTGTCAGCGATATATATGATTTTATTGAAACAATTGAAACTAGTACTAGTGGACAGACCCCTCAGTGGCCAGCTTTTTAAAGAGGAGCTTCATCCTTATACAATGAAAACAAAGGCAGTTTGAGAAATGTTTAGTAATGGAAATCTACAAACAAAAATGCAGGCTTTTTATTTTTACATTCTTTTCCTCCCCTTTCTTCTTCCAGTTTCCATTTTTACTAAGGGCAGAGAAATTGATATTTTACTTCCTGGAACTCTACCTAGGAGTCTGGGTCTGCTTCCTGGAACTTGTGACCAGAACTTTGCATCTGTGAGGTTACAGTACAAGATTTCTGCTTGAAGATTGGTTGGTATAGGTTACTGCACATCCTTACTGCTCACTGACTGGTTGCTAGAGGTTTCTGCACATCCTTACCTCTCACTGGTTGGTTGCTAGAGGTTACTTTCAATCATTACCGCTCACCCATTGGTTGCTAGAGGTTACTGCACATTCTTATCACTCACTGATTGGTTACCTCTAGCAACCAATCATCAAGCAGAAATCTTGTACTGTAACCTCTAGCAACCAATCATTGAGTTGCAATCTGTGCTGTGACCTCTATCAACCAGTCAGTGAGTGGTAATGATATGCTGTAACCTCTGGCAATCAATTTCATTTGCTGCCTGATCTGCTGGAGCACACTGATTTTTAGTTTAGCTGCTATTTAGTGTATGTCTCAGAGCAGGTGGAGAGCAAAATTGTATAGGGGGCCCAAGAAAATGTTTGCCCAGGGTCCCATCAATATTAAAGACAGCCCTAGATATGCTGGCTGAGGGATTCGGAATGGTCGTGTACTTAACACACTTGATGTTATTTCCATGCTGAGATCTGTACCTGAGCTGCTTGCCAAGAACTTTACATGTGAGTGTACTAATTTTAATTGTTTCAATAAAAGAATATACTGTATATCGCTGATGGAGATCCCGCTCTGCTGTTTCCTTTGTCTTTTCCTTTTGGATCTTTCCGGGTCTATTGGTAGCTGCAGGATCCTTTGGCTGTGTCCATCTTGAGATATGCTTCCCCATCCCCGCAGTAAATTGGACATTGGATTTGGAAAGGTGGGATCTGTAATGTGCTAGATGGGATTGTGATAGGCCTTGGGCTGAGATGCTTCTAAAACCTGTTCACATGTATGTAACTGGTGGGTTGGGGTTTTAGGCCATGATGTTCCACTCCTGCAAAACTGCAATCAAAGCATCTGTGGCAAGAATTGTCTTAAAGTGGAGCTTTCTTCTTTTCTTTCAAATCAGCAACATTCAGCTCTGAATGCTGAAATGAAATCATCTACATTCTTTAGTTAAACATTTTTTGGTTTTACTTACAATTACTGTTTTTCCACTTCCTCGTTAACTGAGGAACTGGTGATGTAACCAGGTCCTCACAAATGCATCCTGGCAAAGTTCTGGTCACATGTTCCAGGAAGCAGAGCCAGTATCCTAGGCAGAGTTCCAGGAAGTAAAACAAAATCGATTTATCTGCCCTTAGTAAAAATAGAAACCGTAAGAAGAAAGGGGAGCATAAGAATGTAAATAATAAAAAGCCTGCATTTCTTTTAAGTTTGTAGATTTCCATTACTAAACATTTCGCAAACTGCTTTTGTTGTCATTTTTATAAGGGTGAAGTTCCTCTTTAAAAAGCTGGCCACTGAGTGGTCCATCTAGGCCCAGAAAAAATGTTGGCTCTCTGTCTGGTGTGCAGAAGTATAGGTTATAGGAGAGTTTTTTCTTTTTAAAGCAAAACTTTACCCATAACAACTTGAAAAAAAAATTGTTGTTCTTTAGCAAGCAACATACATTCCATATTATTATTTATGCTGTGCGCTGTAAATTGCCTCCAGCATTGCTCCTGTTTCTTCTTGCCAGAGGCTGCCATTTTGCTGAAGCCCAGAGCCCCCAAGCAGCAATAAATCCTTAGGCTGTCAGCAGGGCAGTAAAATGCCAAAAAATAGAGCTTAATGAGCATGTGCAGAACAGGGTGAGACAATGCATTGCTGGATTTTAACAGTATAGGCACATATTTGTTTTACACAGCTATACCTGCAAAAGGGGCCAGACTGAAGTGATCTAGCAGGAGTTAATTTTCTGACTAAAGTTCCACTTTAAAGTGTTACTAAACCCAGGACAATTCATTTATTATCTGTTCTCCCACAGTACACATAACATGAACATGCAAATATTATAGTAAATATAAACAGCTAAGCACCTTTTCTTATCAGCAGTATATAGCAGTCTTGTGACTTCTATCAATGTCCACCCGAACACTGGTTAAAGCTTGTAAAAGGAGTTTTCATTCTTCTCTCACTGTCCTATGAGACTGCATAAACCCCGACCCTCTATCTGGACAGCGTTGATTTACCTTTTGCTGATCACATGCACTCTCCCAAGAAAAAAAAAACCTCTCTAGCACTACACAGCAAACTGAGCATGTGCAGCTTGTCCCTAGGCTCTGCTCGGTCAGCAGATGGATTGAGGACACAGTAGAAGGGGAGGATCGGAGAACATCCTTTTTACACAATGCGGAGGATTAACCCCTTAGGTTCCACAGTGAGTATAACAAGCATGCTTGACTGCATATTCAGACTGATTTTACTGTTGTGGGTTTAGTAGCACTTTAACCACTTGACCTCCAGAAGGTTTTACTCCCTTCATGACCAAGGCATTTTTTTTGCTATTCAGCACTGTGCTACCTTAACTGGCAATTGCACGGTCATGCAACACTGATACATTGCCGAATTTGTACAGCTCATTGTACAGGGGCAGTCAGGCAGGTGGGCAGTCTCTTCTGCATTAAAAATCCTGCCAGTCCACTCATTTTTAAAGTTCCACTTCAAGATGGTTCTCTAAATTATTGCCAAATGTGTTACCCAGGGCATGTGCATAGATAAATGTTGATTGCACGACGTATATTATATCTGCCTACCCATACCAGAGTGAGAGGAATAAATCCAGGGACCCCAGTTACATTTAAATCTAAACTGATATGCTCTAAAGCAGTGGTCTTCAAACTGCGGCCCCGAGGCTGGATGTGGCCCTTTGCTTGCCTTTATCCGGCCCTTGGGGCACTATTCCTTACACTGATAAGACACATTATTCTGCAACTGATACCAACAAAATAGGTCACCATTTCTCCCACTGACACCCATAATGGGACAGTGTTCCTCCCAATGATACCACTGATGGGGCACTAATACTCCCCCCTAATACTGAATGTGGCAATGTTTACTCTCACTGATGCCAGTAAAATATCCACTCCTGCTGGCCACAGTCCGGCCCCCCTAAAGTCTGAAGGACAATAAACTGGCCCTTTGTTTAGAACGTTTGGAGACCCCTGCTATAAAGGGTTATATCACCTTTACCAAAAATTGCCCATGCAGATAAGACCAGCTGTGCAGAGTTCACCAAAGTTGGTTATGCCCTCATTATATGTGTAATTCATTTACATATATCATGAATCCTGCCTGAAAAACTCCTATGACATTGCTAAGAGACTCCTAGCTCTTACGGTTCATCTCCACTATCACAGGAGTAAGGTCTTTCTCCAATTCACCCCCCCCCCCCCCAAAACACACTCCGCATAGTGTGCTTCTAGGGTACAGACTTTCACCAAGACCCCCCAGATTCATACTAACAATCAGAAGCCTAGACTCTCAGTTCCCGGTCACCTGATGTCTGTGATAGCCTCTGATTGGCTATCATAATGATCAGTCACTGTGCAGCCCACCACTGTGTTTTCTTTTGGCTCTGAATGGAGAGAAAGATACATTGTATACATACAGGATACATTATATAATACATGTATCTTTCTCGCCTTGCAGGGTAGAAAAAGGACAACATACAAAAGTGTGTAAGGGCTCGTTCACACTTGGCTGTTTTACCAACGCTTGCCAAACGCCCCTATAGCGTTTGGCAAGCGTTGGTCCGGCGTTTGCGGAGCGTTTTTTAACGCTCCGCAAACGCCGCATGCGCGGTTTAGCGGCGGTTGCTAGGCGTTTGCCGAGCGTTAATAACGCCCCACAAACGCCTATAATGCAGTTTGAGTGGTGTTACCGCTCCGCCCCGCAACCGCGTCGCAAACGCCGGCCGGGCGTTTGCGGAGCGGCACCATAGACGAGAATAGGAGGCTTCAAAGCCTCCTGACTCGTCCAGAGGCGTCCGTTTTGCCGCGACGCGACGCAAACGCTCCCGTTAGAACAGCACCATGTGCTGTAATGTGCAGAATTGGCAGAGGCGTTTGGGAAGCGGTAAAAACGCTTCCCAAACGCCTCTCTGCCGCCTGCACACAAGGCTAGTGTGAACGTAGCCTAAAAATAAAATTTTAAAATAAAAAAAATTAGCTCAAAGTTTGATCTAGGTCAGATTGAGGGTTAGCGTTAGGGTCAAAGGTCAAGGTCAGAGTCAAAGGGGTCAGGGTCAGTATATGTTGGGTAGGATTTTTTTGAAACAAGCATTTAAATTAGTATTAGGACCCATTCACACTATGAACTGCATGTGCATAGCGATCCTGTGCGATTCCTGTGCAATTCATTTTGAATGGGCTTAAATTGCACCGCACCAAACGTTGTGCATACACTACTCTTAAACACATGGCAACCAGATTGCATAGTACTTTTGTACGGGGCGGGCAATCACAGTGCATTTGCGACTTGCGTTTGGGGTGTCGTTAACTTTTAACTGACCCCTGCAGCAGATCGCAAAGGCATTGCGACCGGAATGCGGTGCGGGAAGTTATGCAGGAATGCGGCTCTCTTGCACTGCATTCATTTGTGAACGGGCCCTTAGGGTCGGTTCACACTATAGCAATGCAGGTCAGATGCATTTCAGATGCAATTCTGCATGCGTGTTTTTGATGCGTTTTTGGCACATTCTGGTGTGTTTTCAATGTGTTTTGACAAGTTCCAGTGCATTTGTGATGCGTTCCAGTTAATTTTTCTTCCTCTCTTTTTATTGTATTTAAATAGGGACATAAGCATTCCAGTGCATTTTTGGTGCGTTTTGGTGCATTCTGGTGCATTTTTTATGCGTCTTACCAGTACAGTTCTGTGCAGGAAAAATGCAGCATGTTCTACTTTTTTTTCTGCATCCAGAACACACTGAAACTGCAAGCGCTGATGTGAACTATGACACTGACAACCATATAACCTACTTTCTGTGCGTTTTGGATGCAGAAAAAAGCACACTGAAACGCATGTAGTGTGAACTGGCCCTTAGGGCTAGTTCACATTAGATGCAGTCAACTGCGTTATTTTTCTGCATCAAAAATGCTTTCACAGTGTTTTCCATGTATTCCAATGGCCCTAGTTCACACCAGAGCAGTCAGTTCCAGTCAGTTTCCGATGCAGAAAAAAAAAGTAGAACATGCTGCATTTTGTCTGCACAGAACTGTACTGGAACATGGCAAACTGCATCAAAACTGAACCAGAACAGAGTGTGGTGTGAACTGAAGGCAAAAACGTATTCGGAATGCATCCGGAGTGCGTTTTTGTGGTGTGATCTAGCCCTTAGTGTCAGAAAGTTTCAGTGTGTTTTAGCTAGGATTAAAAAAATGCATTCCCCAGGCCCTGCCCTCGCATGCTCTTTCTCTCCCCTGATGCAGTAGCTCTGAGGTCAGCATTTGAGAACTCACTTCTGTGATGGTGAAGGTACACAGGGGAACTAACCCTTTAACTACTTTTACCAGATTTACCCCCCTTCCTGACCAGGCCATTTATTGCTTTTTGGCACTGCATTACTTTACATGACAATTGCACGGTCATGCACCGCTGTATACCAATGAAATTTATATCATTTTTATTCCACAAATAGAGCTTTCTTTCGGTGGTGTTTGATCACTACTGGGTTTTTATTTTTTGTGCTATAAAAGAAAACAAAAAAACTACAATTTTGAAAAACAAACAATATTTTTCACTTTCTGCTATAAAATATACTCAATAAAAAGAAATTTAAAAAAAATCAAATGTCTTCATAAATTTAGGCAAATATGTATTCTGCTACATATTTTTGGTTTAAAAAATGTCAATAAGCATATATTGATTGGTTTACGCGAACAATATAGCATCTACAAACATTTTTTTTTACACTAGTAATTGCAGTGATCAGCGACTCTGAGGAAGAGAGGATTCCCCCCTTAAATCGCATCAGATTTTTGAGCATCCTCTTGCATGTGGAACTCCCGTAGTATTCCAGACCATGGACTCATGTCGGATATGATATGCCTGTGTCTATTTGGCGTTTGTGAGTATATATCTGCCACTTTTTATAAATAAAGTTTGTATTGAGGTAATGCGCAATGCTGGTGTGCTCCTTTCTTTTTCTTGTTTTATAGATCAGTGACTTATAGCAGAACTGCGATATTGCAGGGGACAATCTGACACTTTGTGGGAACCAGTGATACTAACAGAGTGATCAGTGCTAAGTATATGCACTGGCACTGTACTAATGACACTGGCTGGGAAGAGGTTAAACATCTAGGGTGATCAAAGGGTTAAATGTGTGCCTAACCTATGTTTTTGTGTGTACTTTCAGGTGCTTCACTAAGGGATGTGCTGGATTTTATTCCCTGCTGCGCAGGGAAACAAAATCCAGCACATTCCTGCTGACAGGACAGAGCTCTGCTTTGTCTACATAGGAAGAGCTCTGTTCTGTCTTTCTCATTGCCGATCAGTGGGAGCTGGTGGACATCCATTTGCCGGCACCTGCTGATTGGCTTGTGCTGTGTCTAATCACAGCACATCCGGGTCACCAGCAGTGCGCGCATGCCCCCTTCCCAGTGGTGCTGGATAACTTACTAGGTATGCGATCCGCAGCAGGAGTGTCGCTGTATAACTAGATTACGCGGTCAGCAAGTGGTTAAAGTGGAAATCCAAGAAAAATGATTTTTAGAAGTTATATTGAACCAGCTTAGTTACCTCCAAAGACTGGTATCTAGAGCTGCGTGAAATGCTGGGGATGATAAAATTCTTAATTGTATTATATGCCAGATACAACTCCTCTCAAAAACAGAAAGGCAGCAATGGCAGCTATAGGTTCCTGCTGCTGTCAGTCAAATCCTGTGAGTTGAGTGGGGGCGGGGCAGAGCTGCTCTGTGTATGTCTATAGGTGCACACATTGCGGCTTGGGAGCATGCCCAGATGTGCCACCATAACAAGCTGCTTACTGAAGGATTACACAGAAGAGGATAGCGCCAGTGGAGAACCCCAGAAGAGGAGGATCGGGGCCACTCTGGGCAAAACCATTAGACAAAACAGGCAAGTATAAACCTCTTTTAAAGCAAAAAAGTTTTTGACTTTGAAGGGCCAGTTCACACCATAGAAACACAGTTTGGATGCGTTTCTGCATGCGCCTTTTTGACACTTTTTTTTTGCGTTTTTTTACATGTTTCAGTGCGTTTTTGATGCATTTTATGCATTTTTGACACATTCCAGATGCTTTTTTTTCCTCCTATTTTGCTTAATTTTGTGTCCAGCGCATCTTTGATGTGTTTATGCATTCCATTGCATTCAGGTTTGTTTTGATGCGTTTCAGAGTGTTCTGGTGTGTTTTTGATGCATTTTACCGCGTTCCAGTACAGTTCTGTGCAGGAAAAATGCAGCCTGTTCTACTTTTTTTTTCTGGAACCGAAACACACTGGAACTGCAAGCACTGATGTGAACCATGCCATTGACAACCATATAACCTACTTTCTGACTTTCTGTGCATTTTGGAGGCAAAAAAACCTCCACACTGGACTGCATGTAGCATGAATCACACCTAATATTACTTTAAGATTTTTGTGCCCAGAGTTGTTTTAAAGCGATAATAAACCATTTCCATTTTTAAAAAAAAATCCCCTGCAAGGTAAAGACATAATGGACAAGTATGCATCGTATAGTAGCACATTATGTAAAACATACCTTAAAACGAAGCCCTCCAGCGGTTCACTCCTGCAGAGGCTTCCATCTTCACCCGGCCATCTGACTGGCTTGGCTGCGATGATGTCACTTCCACGCATGCGCACGGGAGTCTCGGGATGCGGCGCAGCGCTCTGAAGGAACAACACAGGTATGCCGTTCCTTCAGAGCGCATTCGCCGACTGCAAAAAAAAAATCTTCATCTCCTAAATGGTGCATGTTCAGGAGATATTCATTTTACCTACTGCTAAGCTTTATTATAAGTTTCTCTGTATGTAACAATATACATTGTGGGATTACTACCACTTTAAATAAACATTTTGCCTTTAGCTACATTTTACCCTCAGTTTCACGTCTGATAAACAGTACAGTTTCCCATCATTTCACAAAGCAGACACTTTGGTAAATGCTGAAAGTTCACTTAATGAAAGCTCTTCAACCCCCAGCTATTGGCTCTCTTCCCAAAACAAACATGGCATCCGCGGTTTTCACATCCGGCCTGTGATTGGGTGAAAGCGAGTGCCGGCAGCGGCCTCTAGCCGTGCAAACCGGCAACTGCAGTTGAACTTGGCCCCAGATGGCCACTTGACGTCAGCGAGCGGGAGGGCAGGCGGGAGCTGGCCGGACACGGCTCTCTCCTCCAGCAGCGTCTTGTCATTCCAGGGCAGCGGGCGGCGGAGTCCGGCTTCCATGAGGGCTACTTGGGGTAAGGCAGGAGTGTGAACGGGGCTGGTGTGCGGGAACTTTTCATGCTGGGAGTGTGAAGTTCACTTGCTGGGCTCTCCTCCCATCACTCCCTCATAGACTTCTATGAACTTTTCCTGGAGAGTTCAAATACCCACTGAAGGCAAGGTGTTGCTGTTGCCCCTAGCAACCCAGTCTGTCCTCTCTTCTGATTGGATGATCGGCCTCATACATTTAGAGTTGCTCTATCCAGTTTTCTTTTTCCATATTCTATTTTTGAAGTAGTTGCCCATAGCAACCAATCAGGAATCCTCTGGAATAAGCCGGATTCTGGAAGCTATGTGTACTGGAGTCTGTCCTATAGGGTGGAGTAGCACCTGAGCATGGGAGCGCGGGAAATATGAATGAAAACATTGCGCAGTAAAGTGTCGCCGGGGGTAACCCCAACCGCTGCGGCTTCTGAGCTCGGATTTTGGCATAATGGGTACCTGGGGCTCTCTGGTGCTGGGCTATTCATACTAAGATACACCTACTTTACAACAGTAGCAAACCTGAAAATGTATCGTATTCAGATTACCAATCCTTAGATATGATAGCTGAGTTTTTCTGTTTTTAGGCTTTTTCCTTTTATTTTTTTTGTCTCCGGCTTAAAAAAAAAAAAAAGTTTTTAGAATATATTAAAGTATATGTAATCCCTCACAGTGTAAAATGTATTCAGTGTAATCGGCTCAGCTCCAGGCCTTTTCTGGCACTTTGTTTACATGTTAAAAGCAGTATTTTGTGCTCGAAAATGTCTAAGAACCCCCAAACGCCAAACATTTTATATTTTTTTTAAAGCAGTGGCCAGAGAATAAATTGTTTTTTGTATTTTTTTTTTTTACTTTGTCGCTTTTAATGTTTTGTATTGTTTTATTGCTGTCACAAGGAATGTAAACGTGAGAATTTGACAGGTACTCCTTATGGTACAGGTACTCCTGCACTTGAAAGCATTCAAAACACCAAGACCAGTGTTTTTTAATGCTTTCAGTTTTTAAAATAATCACTTCAGTTTTCCAAGTAAATGGAAATTGATGTCATGTCATCGCTTCCAGTTTACTGTAAGGGAGAGCCAATCAAAGCTGATTCTAGCTTTGTTTGGCTGTCCGGCCAGCCAGTGGATGTGCTGGCTGGCCTCTGTGGTCTCCCGGTGGGACTGGAGATCCCAAGAGAGCCGGGGGTGGAGGGGAACGTCCCCTACTGCTGCTTGTACAGCAGTCGAGCGGCTACAGGTATCACTCCAGTACAACCACTGAAAGTCCAGCGGCGTGCAAGGTACATCATTGGTCCACAAGTGGGTTAAAGTGGTTTTAAAGGCTCAAGGTTTTTTCCTTCATGCATTCTATGCATAAAGGTAAAAAACCTTCTCTGTGAAGTTTCCCCCCACCCCCAGCCCCCACTGATACTCACCTAAGCCCCCTCTTGATCCAGTGATGTGCACTGGAGTCTCGGCTATCCTGGGACTTGCTCTCGTCACAGCCAATGAGGGGAGAGGGAGCGGAGCCGGGACACAGCTCCGTGTGTGAATGGACACACAGAGCAGTGGTTGGGGAGTGCATATGCTCAGGTGCCCCCAAAGCAAGCTGCTTGCTGTGGGGGCAGGCGACAGGAGGGAGAGGCCAGGAGCGCAGGCAGGGGATCCAGGAAGAGGAGGATCCAGGCTGCTCTGTGCAAAACCACTGTACACAGCAGGTAAGTATAACATGATTTTTTTTTTTTTTTTAAGTCTTTAGAATTCCTTTAAAATAGAAGTGAAAGGCAGTGATAACGTTCCATCTAAGCTCCTTATTCAGCTGAGAACAGAGAGCTGGAGAAGGAGAAATTGCAGGACAGTGAATGAGGGTGGGGGGAGCCCAGGACTGAAGCCAGCGGTTCTGCCGACTGGCCATAGAGATGACCAACGAACAGAATTTCCTAGATCTCTGTGGTCTAACACTGGAAGCAACAAGTATTTTTATCAATTTTGCTTTTGGTCTAATGTAAACAGACCATTGATGGCCTGAGAGCATCAGATCAAACGGGTGAGTTTGATCTGATACTGCAGAGAGATCTGGGGTTTAATAGACCCCTGATCTTTCAGTAAAAGAGGACCTGTCACTGCTCCAGCTATCACAAGGGATGTTATAAAAGTGATCCAAACAAGAAAAAAGACAATGTAAACCTCCCGCTCTCCCCTTTCTGTGCTTGCTTGCAAAGGTGAAGGCAAAGGCATATGTAGGTTGCGCACACATATGCTATATTGCCAAAAATATTGTAACATCCCTCCAAATAATTGGATTCAGGTGTTTCAATCACCTCCATGGCCACAGGTGTATCAAATCAAGCACCTAGGCATGCAGACTGCTTCTACAAACATTTGTGAAAGAATGGGTCGCTCTCAGGAGCTCAGAGAAATTAAAGTGTGGTACTGTGATAGGTTGCCATGTGTGCAATAAGTCCATCCGTGACATTTCCTTGCTACTAAATATTCCACGGTCAACTGTTAGTGGTGTTATAGCAAAGTGGAATCAACTGGAAACAACAGCAACTCAGCCACGAAGTGGTAGGCCACGTAAAATGACAGAGCAGGGTCAGTGCATGATGAAGTGCAAAGAAGTCGCCAACTGTTTGCAGAGTCAATAGTTAAAGACCTCCAAACTTTGAGTGGCCTTCAGATTAGCACAACAGTGCGTAGAGAGCTTCATGGAATGGGTTTCCATGGCCAAGCAGCTACGTCCAAGCCTTCCGTGTAGTTTGGTGTCAAGCATGCTGCCACTGGACTCTAGAGTAGTAGACGTGTCTTCCTGGAGTGATGAATCACACTTCTCCGTCTGAAAATCCGATGGACATGTCTGGGTTTGTCAGTTGCCAAGAGAATGGTATTTGCCTGACTGCATTGTGCCAAGTGTAAAGTTTGGTGGAGGGGGGATTATGGTGTGAGGTTGTTTTATAGGGGTTGGGCTTGACCCCTTAGTTCCAGTGATGGGAATTCTTAAGGTGTCAGCAAACCAAGACATTTTGGACAAGTTTATGCTCCCAACTTCGTGGGAACAGTTTGGGGATGGCCCCTTCCTGTTCCAACATGACTGAGCACCAGTGCACTAAGCAAGGTCCTTAAAGACATGGATGAGTGAGTTTGGGGTGAAGGAACTTGACTGGCCTGCACAGAGTCCTGACCTCAACCTGATAGAACACCTTTGGGATGAATTTGAGAGGAGGCTGGGAGTCAGGCCTTCTCCTCTGACATCAGTGCCTGACCTCATAAATGTGCTTCTGGAAGAATGGTCAAACGTTCTCATAGACACACTCCTAAACCTTGTGGACAGACTTCCCAGAAGCTGTTATAGCTGCAAAGGGTGGGCCAACTCAATATTGAACCCTACAGACTAAGACTGGGTTGCCATTAAAGTTCATGTGTGTGTAAAGGCAGGCGTCCCAATACTTTTGGCAATCTAGTGTATGTCAGTTGAGTTTGCAGCACACGTGTGGGGTGTTTGCCGTGAATGTTGTAGTGAGGGCAAGAATTCTCCTGTGTAACTCTAAACTTGTAACCAGTGAAGGCTTTTAAAGTGTCGCCTAGGGAGATTTTTAACTTCCATAGTTTAACCATTGGGTATCTATTTACTAGGTGTAACATCTTTTATATTTTACAATTGGGTATTATATTGTGTTTGTGTGCATTAAAATTCATTAAAGCGTGTATTTTCCCAAAAAATTGCATTTGAAAAACCGCTGCATAAATACCATGTGATACTATTTTAATTTCTAGGGCCTCTGCTTAAAAAGGTTTTGGGGGTTCTAAGTAAACTATTTTTTTTTCAGCAAAGAATGCTGATTTTTACATGTAGGAGAGGAATGTCAGAATTGACCTTAGGGTTAAGTGGTTAACGGCTTTAGCGCTGCCCGATAATAGAAATACTGCTATAGGGTGGCAGCTGTGCGCAAAATCATATGTATGTATATGTGTGTGTGTGTGTGTGTGTGTATATGTGTATATGTATATATATATATGTGTGATTTTTACATCTCCGGGTAGGGGGCATGCGTGAGCGCCCTACATGCAATGTCATACGCGGCTGTCAATCACCGGGTCCCAGCTGGTGATTACTTGCCGGCGTCTGGTGATTGCCAAGCATCCCCAACGTGGGGGAGAACCGTTTGTAAACAAAACGGTTCTCTCCCCTCTCAGCTCCTGCACACTGCTTTGCATAGCACAGCCATGCAAAGCAGTGTGCTTACAGTGAAGCACAAACGCAGCCCCTAGTAAAAAGCACACACAGCACAGTTAACCCTTTGCCCCACATGTTAACCCCTTCCTGCCCAGTGCCATTAGTACGGTGTCAGTGCTTTTTATTAGCACTGATCACTGTATTGGTGTCACTGTGGATGTCATTGACACCAAGTCAGTTCCCCCCGTGTCAGCATGTCTGCCGCAGTCCCGCAATAAGTCGCTGATCACTGCCAGGACTAGTAGAAAAAAAAAAAAAAAAAGCCCAGTGTATATATATACTGTCATTTGTAAACGCTATTTCACGTAAACTATTACACATATATTTTCTTTAGCAGAGACAAGTAGCAGTATACTAAATTTATTTGTTTTTTACTTGATAGCAAAAAGTAAAAAATATATTTTATATATATATATATATATATATATATATATATATATATATATATATATATATATATATATATATATATATATAATTTTTTTTTTTTTGTGTGCAAAAAATAGACACACAGGTGATATAATAATAATAAAAAAAGCCCAGTATACCGCCATTTGTAAACGCTATAACTTTCGCGTAAACCAATTAATTTATACATATTGGGATTTTCTTTTGCAAAGACAAGTAGCAGAATACATTTTGGCCTAAATACGGCCTGGGCCCAGACTGTTGTCAGCTCCAGTGATGTAGCATAGGCGACGCAGCCAGGCGCAACATTGCTGGGCAGCCTGCAGGTGTCACTGGTGTGTGAGGTCGGAGGGTAGGGAGGAGCTGAGCT